AGAAGTGAAGGTATATGGGAGGAGGGGGAGAGAGAAAAAGATCTCCAGGAAGTCTCAAGAGTAGTGGTGATAGAATTATTTGGCAAGGCTTTTATTTACATCTGTACTCATCTTTGTTTCCTTCTTCTTCTTCCCTAACTCCGGGAAGAAGAAAAAAAAAAAAAAAAAACACAGATCCCAGAGTTTTTCATCCAAGCTCTCAGTTTTCTTTGTTAGGAGGGGATGATGTCATCTGCTGGGGCAAAAGAGGCTTGAGGAAAAAAAAAAAAGGTTTAGAGTAACTTGATCATCTAAAATGTATTATAGTGCAATGGTTCTGAGCATGAGCATCTCAATAAGTGAAGATAAAGAGACTCTCTAAACCCTGACACTGCTTATTTGTTGGGTAATACTGAGCAGTCTCTTCGGCAAAACAGGGATAATAATGCTGTTATATGATGGATGTGAGAATTTAATAATTGCTAACATTCATTGAATTTTTAATGTCTCACATTGTGTGCCAATATGTTAAAATATAGAAAAATAAATGGAAGTACATTTTAACTTCCTAATTTGGTTTTAAGCACTCACAGTAGGCATTGTAACTTATATTTCTTTGTAGGCTTTACTGTGCTTAGCATGGGGAATTGTGCAGAATGAGAGATTTAAATATATTCGATTCACAAAAATTTTGAAAACGTATCTTTCAGTCAGTCTGATCTCTTTACCACTATGTTTTTGGGAAGAACAGTAACACCAAGGAATTTTTGTTAGAAGAGGCCAGTGACTAACGGCATATGCTATGAAATGGCATATACTATGAAATAATGTAATTTTAGAGTATGTCAGAAACACCTTGTCTGTTGTATGTCCAAACAGTTCATAAGCTTAAGACGCACCTATACTCTTTTCAAAGCTTAAAGGCATTTATTTCTTCTTTTCTACCCATTTGCACTAAAGTACATTGTTACTTTATTTGCCCCAAACGTAAGTAAGTTCCTCCATTTCTATCCTTCATGTTCTGTTAGTTTTTTCCCTAATTTTACAGATTGATTCTAATCCTATCCGTTCTTTCATATATATATATATAGATCTATCAAGTAAGTATATCTATCAGGTGTACCTATAAAGTATATATTTATCCCAAGTATATCTAGCTCAAGTATGTATGTACATATATGTGCATCTATACTTGATATATATATCAGCTGTAGATAGATATCACATGTGTGTGTGTATATATATATATATGTACACATCTCAAGTGTGTAGATATCTACCTACTTTCCTCTAGGTATGGAAATTAATTTATATTTTAATCACAATTAATTATAAGAGTTTGAATTGTTTTTCCTCACAATCTACTCACGCATATAAGTTTCTAAAAAAAAAAAGTGGAAACTCATATCCAAATGATGTATCATACAGTTGTATTGTCTCCTGGGGTAATTAGAATAGGGTAAGGCTTTACACTTGATGAGAGATACTTTAGTTTCTCTTCTAATTTATAAAAAAAAGATTATTAGTCTATTAAACATAACATAGATGGAAAAGGTCTACGAGAGCATTTTTCCCAGTGGTTTTTAAAATATTTTAATATTTTTAATATTTTAAAATATTTTTAATACTTTATCAAATGAAACGTTCATGGAATCTCAACAAATGAACCAAAGAAATTCGACTTTCCTGTCTTATAAATGGGGGACCTAGCCCTTCTTTTTCTCCCTTACTCATATTTCCACAGGAAACTCCAGATCTGAATAACATACAGATCTTCCTTGAGGAACGTCCTGATACACCGCTGTAAGTTGAAATTTTTGTAAGCCAAAAGCACATTTGAAAAACCTAACCTACTGAACATCAGAGCTTAGCCTAGCCTACCTTAAACATGCTCAGAACATTTACATGAGCCTACAGTTGGGCAAAATCATTTAACACAGAGACTATTTAAAGTGTTAAATATCTCATGTAACTTATTGAATGCTAAAAGTGAAAACCAGAATGGTTGTATGGGTACAGTAACAACTGTAAGTGTATCAGTTGTTTTCCTTTACAATCGCCTGGCTGACTGGGAGCTGCAGCTTGTCGCCAGTGCTCAGCATCACAAGAGAGTATCATACCACATATCACTAGCTTGGGAAAATATGTAAATTCACATTTTGAAGTACGGTTTCTACTGAATGTGAAGTGCTTTTACACCATCATAGGTTGGGGACCTCTGTACTTTGAAATCCAGTAATCTTTTCTAACCTTCTAAATTTTATAGATGGCTTAATCAGCATAATGAGGACTGATTTTAATATGCTACTTATTGAACTAGTTGGGACCGAAATCTAGGTATCTTGATATCTAAACCAGTGTTTATTCTATCACATCACACTGATTCCTTACCTGAATCATCCTCAGTAACTCTGTTTTGCTTAAGAACTGGTCTTATGAATCAATTCAGGATTGTTAGGAAGGAAGAAGTGAGAGACATGGATGGCTATTGGGTAGACACCGAAGAGTGTCTGTAATGAGAAACCCAGAATCTAAAGATAAGTCAGTCTTGTCTTAACCTAGCATACTAAGCTTTTATAGTTTTCCCAGTATTTTCTGACTCTCTTCATTTAACGCATGCTCACAAGACCCAATTGTCCAGTTATAGTCAATGTTACCTAAGCAAAAATTTGATGCATAAATTTCTGGGAAAACTTTTTTCCTCCTGATTTAAGGGTATAGATGCATTTGGCACTGCTCCTTTCTCCCATCCTCCTACCTTAAACATATGTATGATAGCCAGCACTACCGTAGCTCTCTTATGATTATGAGGCAAAATAGCATCTCTTCAAGCATAGCAGAGTGGAATAAGAGAAGATGTCTTGGGCTTTGACATTAATGACTGACATAGGTAAGTAAATATAATTCTATTTTAACTGTGACAATCCAAGTTTTTATTGTTGTTGCTCTTGTTGTTTGGAGCCTAATATATTTCTGACAGTAACATAAATTCTACCGAGTTTTAATTTTTCCAAAGGGAAACTATACCTTGAGAGGATGTTCTTGAGTTATCAATGCCTCCAATACTAGCAAGTTCTGTGTAAGAAAAAAGTCATGTGTGATATATATGCCTCCCTTTATTTCGAACTGAAACTTGATATATCATATTCATAAACTCATTCAACTTTAACAAATGTTTATATTCAAAGCACTTATATATTCATTATAATATTTTAAAATACTTCCTATGATCCAGAGTTCATCTTATATGCTGGGGATTTATTATTGCAGTCAAGGGGATACAGTGTAGTGGGGAAAAGTGAGGCATACAATGATATTAATAATAAAATATGTTTGCATATTAACTACAGTATTTGGGAAAAAAACTAATTTTTCAAAAAATAAACCTGATAAATGCCATATACATGCATGTGTGTGTATATGTGTGTGTGTGTATATATATATATATATATATATATAAAATAGTTATTACATCAGTGGTTTAATTGGTGAATTAGTATCACCAAGTCTTCTTCCCTGTCTTTGCCCATACATGGGTATTCCTAATTATATCTGCATGGAATATATATTTAAATTTTCTACACTCTGTAATACATTTTACTGGTCAGACTTTTTTCAAAAATCTATTACAGATACGGTGGGAGTCAGGAAACTTTTGTGCGTAACTTCTCTTAGCTAGTCTTCAATATTATAAAATTTTAATATTTAGGCATATCATCGCTTTTAGGAAATCTGTCATTAATATACCTTCTCTTAAAAAACATTTCTCACTTAAAAAGCATTCCTCAAGCACATTTTGATTATTTCATCGCTTTTAGGAAATCTGTCATTAATATACCTCTTAAAAAACATTTCTCACTTAAAAAGCATTCCTCAAGCACATTTTGATTAAGAAAACCTCCAGCACTTACTAAGCCAACTCTATTTCCATCCCACATTAATCCATGATTAATATATAACAAGTAAACCATTTTATTTGTTCAAGCACTAATTTTGATGTGGGCGGCTCCCCACAATCTGCGCACCTTTGCTAGTAGAGAGAGACTCCAAACAAAAATAATTTAGCAATAATGAAGATTAACCATAAGTAATTGTCCTGAAACTGACTGAAGAAGAAAAATGATTCATTTTTAACTTATCTCATACTGACTTCCTGTTCTAAATAATCATGCACAGGCATATTGTTATGAATATTCAAAAGGTTTTTTAATGGCTTAATAATTTTTCTTCCTTTGTTTCTAGGAGCAGAAATAATAACACACACTGAAATAGAAGATCACACTTGTCAGAAGCAGATAAAGTAGAGAGATCATCAAATTATCTTCCATAGTCCCAACAAAGGCCGACCAGCCATCAAAGAAAACCACCACTCCCATCTGGATTTTCATGCAGAAATAACATAGAGCTGGCTTAGCATGGACTCTTTTGATTAAAGCTAAAATATCCAAAGTAAAAGTCTAACTTACTAAGAGTCATCACAGTATGTCACAGAACTATTTGGAAATAGATATGTTAGCTCCAGATTTCCCTAGCATGATGTTTCTGCTCGCTTCTTTCCCTTCAGTACATAGAAATTGGGAGCTGGCAAAGTCACCTGGAGGAAAGAGGAATTTACTTTGCTTCACATCTAACAAGGTAATCCTTTTGTTGTTTACACTCCCTTTTCCTCTCAGACTCACCCTCTGCCCTTCTTTGCCTGGCTTGTGCTTTGGGATACTGACCTCTATGGACTGTGTCACTTGGGCTTCTTTTGGCTGAGTTTGCCAGTGAGAGGAACTGTCAGGAATTGGAAGACTGAGATTGGGATGTTTGTTTTCTCTGCTCCTTTACTGATTGGTAGATGCACTCAGTAATTACAGGTCCTATGGGACAAACTCTTTCATGGCTCAACACATTCTAAAGGTTCCGGTTGTATAGCTCCTTCCTTTGCCTCCATCGGGACTAAGGGCGGTAATGGCTTGCCTTTGTTGCTGGTCCCTGGGTGCATCACCATTTTTTCTGTTGTTGCTTAATTAAGTTGACCCCTAAAATCTGTAAAAGTTACCTTAACTTTAGAAGCCTTTAGAACAAGTATATCAGTAAGTATCCCAGAGGAAACAAATAGCAAGCTCAAAGGTTTACCCAAACAGCCCCAAGAAAATATTAAAGCCTCCTGATGCTTGTTTATGTTTAAGGTACCATGGACAGTTTCTCAAGAAAGGAAGAACACAGAGATTTTGTCACTAAACTACTACTCTTCCCTCTGCATTCTCAGGAGGCAAAAATACAATTTACAGGCAAGCGGATCGCAACTTTTTTTTCATTTTATGACACACACCACACAATATTCACATGTTCGATTCAGAACTACGCACAAGGTAAGGCTAATATTTGTGTGAGGTAAGAATCTATCCTTTCCTATCCTGCTTAAGAAAGCATATCATGAAGCTTGCATGTGAGAACAGGGTTGTTATAAGTAAACCTTGAAGCTGTGCAATTTTTTAAAGAAAATTATTTTCAAGCTTTATTAGTAGTAACCTACTAATAATAACTTGCAGCATACCAGATCCTCTTGTGGGTCATCTAGGCAGCAGCCAAGAACAGCTTTTAGTGAGACCCAGATGGAAAGATACTTTTCTTTCAGAATCTTCTATCAGGAGGTAAGTGACAAATTGTCCTATTTGTTCCATTGACTACTGGAAGAGTAGTCCAGCTATTTATGTCAAAGTAATATGAATTGAGTAACACTGACACAAAACCAAATGCGATAGATGTTTTAAAACTCTTTGAACTATGTTGAGATGATTTAGTTAAACTTAAGAAACTATGCATGTTAGATTTTAAAAAGTGAGAAAAGATCTATCTTTTTGACTAGTCACCCCTAGATTCCTGTCTTTAGACAGCGCTAGCTCTTATAACATTTTTTAACTGCATCATTTTCCTTGAGCATCACCAAAGCCTACTACAGTATGATGAGTAACAAGAACTAATACCCACACAGAAAGAGACTGACAGCAAGTAATCCAAAGAGTAGTCTCAAATCCTTAAATATGGTTTCTGGTTCTCAGTTGAGAAAGAATCAAAATCTATTAGCATTATCTTTGTTAGTGAATCAACTCATAAATATTTTGTATTTCTTACATTTCTTGAAATCACAACACCCTGACATATTCACAAATAGAATGATGCTTACGTATTTATATCCTTAAAAGGTTCAGTGTAGCTCCAGGTACCTATACAGATTTACACACATTGTTCCCCTACAAATTTAAATTTCACCACCTGTTAACCACATTATGACTAGGAAGTCATTGCATACTACATCCTCAACAACAGTAGACACTGTAGAGCTATTTTGTAGGACTGGCTGTTTAAGTTGTTCTTTGTTGTAAATGGGAGTACCTTTATTAATTAACAGCTTTGCAAAGTACTCAGAGAAAAACCAAAGATTTTAAGGAAAAATAACTTAGGGAAAAATAAATATTCAATCTATGTTTTCCTCACTAGAGCACATCCAAGGTCTCAAGAAAGTCCCAACATCAGTAATGCCATGAAACAAAAGTGAAAGGTACTCTTACTAACCCCGTTTTTCAGATGAGTGGCCGAGATTTGGAAACTCTCGGTATCTGGCTTGTGCACTTACTGAGCTACTAAATGATAGAGTCAGGACTTGCGAGACGAGGTTCAATTCCCAACTTACTTCTAACGTACCAGAATTATCCTGGTCAACATTATACAAGCAAAGGAATGGCAGAACTGAGAGCACTGGAGGATCCTAAAATGACTTAGTAGTTAGCATCATCTTGTGTTCAGAATAAAAGGAGCTAAAGAGTGAATTTTCATTTGTTCCAGATAACTGCTTTGCCAATGTCAATCACTAAAATAATTATGGTAGAAGAATGCAGGTTAAAATGCAAATTCCTTCATCCTACCCACTCCCTGCTCTTCTGGTTCAATGGGTCTAGGATACAGTCCAGAAATCTGGGTTTTTGGCAGTCACTCTAGATGATATGATGCAGGGTTCAAGGGCAATACTTAGAGAAAAAAGGTATAATTTCAGATTGCCTATTGGTCATCTTAAAAAAATGTGTTTCTAATGTCAAAAAATTAGAAGGGTTCAAGTACTTGGCACTGATACTTGTTAAATCTGATTCTAAAATTATTCGATTAAAAAGTCATTATATTTAGGAGAGATTGGGCATTACTAAGAGATTTAAGGATTTAATAATCTGGTTCTTGCAAATAAATATCATCGCATAGCAACAGCTCTAGCATTATTACTGGTGAATATAGTCAATGTGATGAGGCAGTGAAAGAACATTTTGTATCCAATAGATTACACATACACTCAAATTAATCTCTCATTTGAGGAAAAGTAGATAAAGGAACCCCAAAGAAGTTGAAAAAGGTCCTTTGGGGTCTCTTTTATCCTTTACGCTACAGTTAAAAATTTCAGTACTGTTCCTAACCTTAGTGGCATCTCCAAAGAGAGAACAGCAATGACATTTCAAATATCCCCCACTCTACCCCCCAACACACACACCCACACCTTGGAGCCGTCCCTTTGTTACCTTCTTAAGGGCAAAGTTCCTCCAGGCAGTCACTAATTGGCATTGGCTATTAGCATAAGTGGGAGAAGCTAATTTCATCTATGTCACCTTTCACCTAGTAGTCTCTTGCAAGTACTAAACAGATCACTAACACACAATAATTTCAGGTAGTTTGTTCTCTTGGTTTTAAGTACAGGTTATCATGGGTGTAGAGGATAAAGAATGGAACTAAATGATTTATAAAAAGGAAAGCTCCATAATAGGGCTATATAGCCTGTGTATATATATGTATGTATCATGTTTGTGAGAGCAGCTGATGCATACAAATAAAACCCAAGTCATTGGAAGGTCGTCAATGAGTAGCTTTGGCCTGAACAATATTTATGAGCTTTGTGGGGCATGAAAGCCAGATCAATGAAGCAAAACCACAGGTTCCAGAAATGGTAGCAGAATGAAGCTTTAACATCTGTACAGTTACTCAGAGACCTTTGTGTCTGGATTCAAATTGAATTTAACACTCATTCAGATGTTACTGGAAGAGGATATTTACAATTGCATTTTCTCTTCTACTTAAAAGTTTCCAGGATTTATTATAATGATCAGATCATCTAGAAATAATGTATGCAATTTGATACCTTGTTTTTTTTGCATAAAGATTCTTTTTAATAAGAGCAAAAACAATGAGAAAGGAACAAATGTATTTCAAGGGGACCTTGAGATGTTAGTACTTTCTATTCACTCTAAGCAAAGACTGAGCAGCCCCCTGTTGTGTGATTGTTTCATCAAAACCACAGTAATAAAATTTAAGGCTGTTCTTCTTCAAAAGGGGATCAAGCATAGGCTGTTCATTTCCCCTCAATAAAGAAATTAAACTATAGATAGATACAGATTTCACCTAAATTTGGCCTGAGGAATTAAAAGCCCCTCATTTCATCTGCTCCTTCTTTCTGGCAATGTTATTTAGACTCAGGTGTTAAAATAAACACTTTACCTTAGGGATCAGTCCTTTCATGATGCACATTTGTCTATAGTTAATACCTTAACTTACTGCTCAAAAATAAAACCCCACATGGAGGGCTGGACCCAAAGGTAAGGTGAAGATGCTAATCCTTATTTTGCAGTTACGTGAAGAAAGTGAAATGGCTTTACCTCTACCCTGTCATAGTACCATAAAATCCTGGTTTCTTAAACTTGAGAGACATTTTCTCCAGTTACAGGACACAAATGCGGACATGAAAAATAACTTATGCCAGGAGCACCCCATAATCCCTCCTGTGAGTAATCTCAATTAGACTGGGATCCAGCAAAGGTAAATTCTGATCGACAGAATATCAGGAGGAAGATTAATGGCAACACTAATGGCCAGAGGGCAGGCGTGAATGGTACCCAGAGCAACATCCTTTGTTGCAGGACAAACAATACAAGGCACTGATGATGAGACCAGGGTTGTATGGAGAAAGGCTCCAAAAAAAAAAAAGAGATGGAACCAATATTTGAATATAAGTATAATGAAGAATTTATTTTTGGCTGCATTGGGTCTTCACTGCTGAGCACGGGCTTTGTCTAGTTGCCGTGAGCAGGGGTTGCTCTTTGTTGTGGAGCACGGGCTTAGTTGCTCCACAGCATGTGGGATCTTCCCGGACCGGGGCTCAAATCCATGTCCCCTGCATTGGTAGGCATATTCTTAACCACTGTGCCACCAGGGAAGCCCTGAAGAATTTTATAGGCAGCAAAATTATATCTAATAATGTAGACTTGTAATAAAGTGCAAAAAGCTGATACAAGTGAAAATACACACTCTGATCTCATATTTGTACAAAAGAATTGTGAAGCAAACTATCAGGAGACCTTTGACCAATTAGAATAATAAAAATTTAATTGAATATATGCCTTTCTCTACTGCATCTGAACTTAAGTATTCAGTTTTTCTGAATATCTTTTTGGTTTTGATTCCACTATTTAGAAATTTACAACAATGGAAAGTCCCTACTTGTAGAGATTTATTGACACTGAAGCATTTTCTGTATTACTGTATAGCCAGATCATTTGTGATCAGGGTTCTTAACTTTACATAACCCTTAAATTCCTCTTCACCTCTCCTCCCAGTTTTTAATATTTCCTGAGTGAATCTCTCTATTCCATACATCACAACTTTTACATAGCTGTTGAGTCAATTACTAAGTCTCTCTCTAGAGATAGATATAGATGATGCAGCTAGACATACATATGAGGTAGACATCTATCTATCTATATATATGATAGATGGAGACATATAATACCAAGTGTTGATAAGGATATGATGCAATGAGAACTAGTATAAGGAGAAATGCAAATTGGTACAAAGACTTTGGAAAATAATTTGGCATTATTTTGTAAGGTTGAAAATGCACGTATCTTACCAATTATTTCCACTCTCAGGCATTTACCCTTTGGAGAAACTCTAGAATCAGTGTACCAAAAGACATGATAAACAAACGTTTGTAACAGCATTGCTTATAACAGCA